AAATCCCCCAAAATCCCACCATGTGGCTGTGAGCATTGTCCAAACACTTCTTGAGCTCAGGCTGGTGCTGTGCTCACTTCCCTGGACACCTGTTCCAGTGCCCAACCACCCTCTGGGGAAAGCACATTTTCCTGACATCCAACATAAATCTCCCCGACACAATTTCAGGCCATTCCCTCAGTTTCTCTCACTGGTCACACAGAGGGGAGGTCAGTGTCTGCCCCTGCTCCTCATGAGGAAGTTGTAAATGCAGCGAGGTCTCCCTTCAGTCTCCTCTTCTCCAGGCTGAACAGACCAAGTGTCCTCAGCTGCTCCTCACACGGCTTCTCCTCAAGGCCCTGCACCTTCTTTGTTGCTCTCCCTTGTCCTTCTTGTGTTGTGGTGACCAAAACTGGCCACAGGACTGGCAGTGAGGCTGTGGAGCTGTGTCCTACAGCCTGGCTCAGACTTAGACTGCCAGCCTCAGGTCTGACTGGAGCTCTTCTGATTGATCTACAGGCACACACCTCATGGCTCAGTCCATCAGTTTGTCTGAGAATCAGACAGTAATTTAATTTAAAAAAAATAAGTTGCTGCAGTTGATGTTTGCCTTTTTTCCTCTGAGGAAAAAGAGCCTACAGTATGAATTAGGAGCAGGACACTGTAGAGGAAGGGACAGTTCAGAGTCTACCACTCCATATCCCTAAGCCCATAGTTAGGTTTTAAATAGCAGCTGTCATCTTGCATTATGAACACCTTGTTCGAGGTATTCCAGACCACGTCAGAGTTCTGCTTCCTCCCAAGAAAAGAGGCACGCTACCAGAATGCACTGATTTACACCTAGAACCCCATGAATTTGAAAGATATGCCAAAAGAAGAATAGGGATATAATTTTCAGCTGAGCTGGAAGAGTAGATCATAATAAACTGAGTAGGTCTATTTTCAGGCAATCACAAAAAAGAAATTCCCCATTCCTTTAGCAGGACCAGTTGCAAAAATAAGGGAGACTTAGTTATCTGGAGATCATATTCAAAAACCTGTTCCACACTCCTTTCTTCTCCCTGTTTGTTTCTATCTCAGCTTCCATCACACGTTTGTTTCTCTTGAAGGACAGCTGTGGAGCAATTTTAGTAAGCTGCAAACAGGTTATTTGGGCAATGAAAATTACTCCACATAAACTCAAATAAATCCAAATATCCTGCACTGCCACTGCTTAAAAATGCCAATCTTATTGTTTGTGTTTCTGGTTTTACAGGACTTCTAAATGTCTCAAAGAGCCATTTATGAGGCTAAGATCATTTAAGATGTGTTTCTTCCATGGTATTTCCATCAGCTAGGAACTGAAATATGATGAGGAGACAGATGCTGTATTATTTCAGCACCATACATGGCTCCTTGAGACACTGAAAGAGCTGGAGAGAAAAAACAAATGCAAAGATTTGAAACAAACACAAGCTGAAGGATCAGTTCACATTCCCTGCACTTCAAACTTTGCAATAATAAACCAGCAGAGCACATACAAACTTTCAGATCCCAAATGAGTTGTCACAGATTTTCTGTGATTTTGGGGTACAAGACATGACATTGTTCACCGTTCTTTGCCCTGGTGGGTCTCTGCATTCTCACACAGCAGATATTTTCAAAAGTAAGCAGGATGGAGAGTTATCTGGACCGGGAGGCAGAGGACAGTTGGTATTGTCAGAACTGTGCCTCCTTGAGGGGTCAAATGACAAATTCAGCTACAGATCTGGTTCTTTTGCAGCACTGGACAGGAAACAAGCTTCATTTGGAGTGCCCACAAAAAGTACTGTCCTTCCCAGCTCTGTCAGTGTGGCCTCCCTGAGGGCACTCAGCCTTCAGTCTGAAAGATTTGTGCTCACCACAGAATCACAGAACCATTAAAGTTGGGAAAGCTCTCTAAGACCATCGAGCCCAACCATTAACACAGCACTACCAACATGCCACTAAACCCTGTCCCCAGGTGCCACATCTGTGGTTGTGTTCGAGGGTCCCAGGACGAGGGAAGAGATGAGAATCTTGACTCCATGTTTCAGAAGGCTGATTTATTATATTATGATAGTATATTATATTAAAATGCTATACTAAAACTATAATAAAAAGAATAGAGACAAAGGATCCATCAGAAAGCTGGACGGGAATAGAAAGGAATGAATAACAAAAGCTCATGACTCTCAGAGAGTCCGACACAGCTGGATCTTTGATTGGTTATTAAGTAGAAACAACTCAAATGAACCAGTCAAAGATGGACCTGTTGATAAACAATGTCCAGACCACATTCCACAGCCATCAGATTGTTAATTGTTTACATTTCTTTTCTGAGACTTCTCAGCTAGAATGGGAGAAAAATCTTAGCAAATGATTTTCATAAAAATATCATGGTGACACCACATCTACGCATCTTTTAAATCCCTCCAGGCATGGTGACTCCACCACTGCCCTGGACAGCCTGTTCTGATGCCTGACAAACCTTTCTGTGAGGAAATATCTTCCAACACCCAATCTAAACCTCCCCTGGCACAACTTGAGGCCATTTCCATTGGTCCTATCACTTTCTGCTTGGGAGAAGAGACAACCCCCACTGGGCTGCACCCTCCTGTCAGGGAGCTGTAGAGAGTGAGAAGGTGCCCCTTGAGCCCCCTTTTCCACAGGCTGAGCCTCCCCAGCTCCCTCAGCTGCTCCTCACAAGCCCTGTGCTCCTGACCCTTCCCCAGCCTCTCCCCTTATCAATAACACAGGCATTTTCAGGCTGGCCTAACTGCTATAAAAAGGTTTCCATTCACACAAGGAAAAAAAGGCAACAGCTGATAAGCCATAATCCAGCTCTAACTTTCAGCACTGCAGTAATCAGCAGTGTGCTGGAAGAGCCTTCCAGGAACAGCCTGTAACTGCTTTCCACAGAAGCCTTAGGATCATTTCCTTGCCCACAGTGCCATTCAATTGCTTCTAATCACCTCTCCATCTTCCAGACCATTGGCAAGTACACCTCTGAAGAGCAGGAGTGCTTGCAATGTGTCAGACAAGGAGCATTGAAAATAAATCCCCCTGTGAAAGAGAGCAGTATCCCCCACAAATGGTTACCCCACTTTGGAATGACACTCCAGGTGTTCAGACATTCATTCCCAGTTCAGAGGAGAGAGATCCTGCTTGTTTGCTAAACAGCTCTGCTGCCTTCTTTGCTCATGATTAAAGGAAAGCATTTTTTTTTTTCTTATATAACACAAACATCTTAAGTTACTCTTCTCTGCCAGGGCACAGACCCTTGTGCTGGGTGAGAGCTCATCACCAGCAAAGGAAGTTCTGCAGCCACACTGGTGAAATTCACCTTGCAAGCAGATCAATTTTGTAAAACTACATGGGCCTGTTTCAGGGTAGATGTTTTAGATTCTTTAGAATCTTTATATTCCTTTAATTCTCCATTGAGAATACTGGGAGTTTAGACACCCATTACTTCTGTAGTCACTTACATCTATGGTCTGCTCTCTGCAAAGGACTGGAAGACAGAGGGGTGCTGGGATCATTTCAGACTGAAGGAAAGACAGGGATTTTGTTTACATGTTTCCTTCTAGAAGGAAGAAAGAAACCTCAGGTTGTTAAACTCATCTTCTTGAAAGTGTTGTCACAAAAACAAAGATGACTTGGCCTTAATGGTATGTTCAGACAAATGGAAGTTAAAAGTTAAAAAGTTAAAAATTGGTTCCCCAGGTGTCTGTTGCAAGCAAAAGACAAGATTTTGTTCCCTGCCTTCTTCTTGTTCATGTCTACTCATCTCTTGAGATACAGAAACATCTCTCCTGTTTCATAGAAACATAGAGCCAGAGAATGTTTTGGGTTGGAAGGGACCTTAAAGATCATCTAATTTCAGAGCCCTGCCATGGGTGGGGACACTTTCCACTGGATCAGGTTGCTCAGGGTCCATCCAATCTGGCCTTGAGCATTTCCAGGGAAGGGGCACCCACAGCTTCTCTGGATGCCAACTTGTTGACTCTGGTCACAGCTAAAATCTGGCCATCAGCCACTCCACATGAGAGCAGAAAGTGAACTTGCCTTTTCTTTGAGTTGAAAATGCTGCAAACCAGGGTAGGAACATATGGGGGAAAAACAGAGGGATCAGAGAGCCCCAGCAAAACTGTGACAAATAAGCTCCTACAAAGAGGCAGAGTTGCCCTGATGTGAGGGAGTGTCAGTACTTAGAGCATTGATCTGTCAGAGTTAGGCTGGGCCCAGCTGTGCTCCTTCTGGGGCTTTGGAAAGACCTGCATTTCAGATTAACCCACCAGCTGAGCCTCTGCTTTGCACCACAGTGAGGGGTGCACAGAGACATCCTCACTGCCTCTCGGTCACTTGACCATGCAGAACACCTGGAGCTATTTCTGCAGCTGGGCTGTTAGCCAAGATTCTTTTCCCCTCTCTCTCTCCACTACTGCGGCTGGTGCTGGTAATGAATTCCAGAGAGATTCTCTGGGCTTTTCACATAAAGAGGTGTTTGGGGAATTGGTTGTGGCTCACAACACAATCCAGAGAGTAAACACAGTGGAGAAAACCACCAGATCCATGGAGCTGTGGAAGCTTTACACTGAAATGATCTGCCTTTCCAGGGCTTGGACTATGTCTGTGTGAGGAGCCGTGACATATCAGTGATTCCAGGAGCTGCACAGAGTTTTTGAGTCAGAGTAAAATTTCTCACCTCACTCAAGGTTTTTAAATATTTCAACAGAATGAATCATTTACTCTCAACCAAATGGACATATTCTTTCTCATCAGAGATGCAAGGGTGTTCTGTCTTTCTGTTCTGACTGAAAATAAACATTGACCCATCCAGGATGACAGGCAATTTGAGTCAGACAGGAATCTGAACTCTCACAACAGATCTACAAGAGAACAACGAGAAAACACAAGGCAAGCAGGAAATCCAGTAAATTACCTTGCAGATACACTTCCAGCTGGTCATGATTCAGTTATTTAACCTCAGTCTCTCCTTCCTCAGCTCATGTTGAAAGAAATGTGTGCCTCCTGCCTGAAGCCTGTGTACCCCATGGAGCGTGTGGTCACTGACAAGGTCTGTGTGCACCGCTCGTGTTTCTGCTGTCGGGTCTGCGGGAGGAAGCTGAGGTGAGTGGTGGAACTCAGGACCATTTATTTTTAAGGGATACCCAAGTAGTTTCTATCAAATTTGTCCAAGGGTAATTCCGACAGAGCAGGACTCAGGAAATGAGAAAAAGGGCCGGGCAGTCTTCCTGATTCCATCTCCATCACTGGAGGCTGAAATCTGCCCAGCTCAAGCCTTCAGACACCTCTGGATCAGGAATCTGCATGGATGACGGTGCAAGGGTGAGCTGGAACTACAATAAATATTCACAGTTTGGGAATACTGATAGGAGATGTCATTGGAGGAGTCATTTGGGTGCCTCTTCTGTTCATAGAATCATTAAGGTTGGAAAAGGCCTCTAAGATCATTGAGTCCAACCATTTACCCAGCACTGTCCAGCACCAAATCATTTTCCCAAGCTTCACATCAAGCCAGGTAGGTTGGAAAGCACCTCTGGAATCTTCCACCCAGCCTTCTCAGGCCCAAGGAGGGCAGGAGCTCAGGAACATGTCCAGGAGAGTGTGAATGGCTTCAAGGCTGGAGGTTACAGAGTCTCAGTTGGGGCCCCCTTTGAACAGCTGAACACCAGTGAAAATGGCTTTTCTTGCATCTCATCACAATTTCCTGTGTCACAACTTGTTCCCATTGTCTCTCATCCTATCACTGCCCCTCTCTAAGAGCACTCCAGCCCTGTCTTCTCCATAACCATAAAATAGACACACCCAGCCAGGAGTTTCTCCCTCCTGACCTTCTCCTGCCTAACCCAGCTCTCAGCCTCTCCTCAGGTCACACAGGTCCCTCACCACTTTAGTGGCTTTTTGCTGGATTCCTTCCAGTACTGCAATGTCTTTTTTTGCCGTGAGGAGCCCAAAACTGGACTAAGTACTCCACGTGAAATTCTAAAAAAGTCAAATATAGAGGAACATTCACTTTTCTTTGCCATGCAGCTCAGGACATAGTTGGCTTCCCCATCCCCAGGGCACAAAGCTGATTTGTTTTAGCTTCTCAGTGGCTGAGACAGCCACCCCCTGTGAGACTGCTTGACATCCTGTTGCCCCCAGCTCTGCAGACACTTCCTCCCATCCTGCAGTTGTTGTATCATGGGAGCCCTGGGCACTTTTACCCATAAGGTTCATGCTGTGCATACAGGGGCAGAGATGAAGTGCTGGTATATAGCCTGGCCTGTAAATGAGAAAGGGATTGCACATAACCTGGCCTACAGCCCCCAGAGGTACTGCAAGGAAATGTTTAATTTTTCATGTTGTTTTGGTGTTTGAAAGAAAAATCAAACATATTCTGAGAAAGCCAACACTACTTTTCAAAGGTTTCATTCTTCAACCCCCTCCCTCCCTCCCTTCCCCACTGAGAAATGATTTTGCTGAAAGCCTGTCCATCAGTGCCACAGCTCCCCTCCCACACAGCCACTGACAGCTGTGCCAATATGTGTTTTCCAGCTTGCAAAACTATGCTGCCCTCCACGGGGTGTTCTACTGCCAAGTCCACTACAAGCTGATGGCTGGGGCTGGAAGCAGAAGTGAGATGGAAAGGATGGAGCACCACCAGGTTCAGCATGGTCCACAGCCACAGGACTGGTGTAACAGGGCCAAAAAGACTGAAAAAAGAGAGAAACCCACATCCTTCAATGCACAGTGTGATCTGCAGCTGGCTGAGCACAGGAACAGCAGGGCTGTCCTCGTAGGGAACAAGCTCAGAGCAGTCTGGCCACCTTCAGAACCAGCCTTGGCTGTAGATGGGAAAGCTGGAAATGGAGTGGGTTGCTGGAAAAATCCTGCACTGAGCCTGCAAGCCTACCAGGCTGCAGGCACCATAGTGCTCAGAGGCCAGGAGGGAGCAGTGGAGAAAGGAAGATTCCTACCTGGAATCACCTACACCAAGGAAAGAGAGCAGGCATGTTCCTGGCCCAAGAACAGAGAGCAGAGAGGCCCTGAAGAGGCTGGGGATGGGGATGTGCCTGAAGGGAAGAGGGGTGGGAAGGTGTCCCAGAGAGTGGCTGCATTCCAGCAGGGCCAAGCCCAGCAGAACACAGGACCTGCCTGTGCCCCCCTCCCTCCCGTCCTGGAGCCTGTGACACCTCTGCCTCGTGCCTCTCTTGCTCCCCACCCCACACACCAAAGCACCAAACCCACGCCCAGGGTGTACCTGGGGGGCACAGGGGGCTGCACTCTCGCTGCCACAGAGGTGCCAGTGACACAAAACAAGGTCTGTGCGTCACTGAGCATACCCAGCAAAGGAGGCACAATCACAGATGACAAGCCTGAGCTGATCACAGCCACCCCAGATACTGCAGGGGCCAAGCATCACCTTGGAGAGGGAATGAACAGCACACAGGCCATTCATGTGCCAGGAGAGCCCAAAACCAGAAACACCACAAATACAGAGCTAAAATATACAGCTGAGGATATTGATCCCCCTGAAGATGAAGCTGAACAAGCCCACTCCCCCCATAGAGTGTTGAGGACCTCTTCTGTATCTTCTGGCTCCCTGGAGCCAGGAGGGCTGGGTGTGTCACCTGAGATCACTGAGATGTTGAAAGAGAAATCAAAGGCAAACACCAGAGAATTCCCTGGCAAACAGATGCCATTAACTTTGGGGCAAGCTATGCAGCCATCCAGCAGAAGTGATTTGCCTGGAATTGAGAGGAAAAGGGCAGAATTTGAGAAGACAAAAGAAGATAAACCAGTAACTATGGGAGCCTCTCTGGAAGACCCCAGTCCTGAGGATGCATCTCAGGAAAATGAAGCTGAAAAGAGCAGAGTCTCTTCAGCTGGCTGTCCAGACAGGACAGATGATCACAATGTGTCCTCTTTACAAGAAACAGAACCTCAGGACACATGTGGCCCACTGAAAAGTGACACGCCTGAGGGTATTTGGAGACAGGATACTAAATCATCTGGCAAGGATTTTCTAGTATCAATTGACACACCTCTGAAAGGAACTTGTGCCCCTTGCCCCTCACATGATGAAGTAGACAAGCGCAAGTCAAAGGAATCCAGGGAAGTTCTTAGTGAAAACACCTTGCACGTTTCTGAGCAACCAGCCAAGACATCAGAATATTCCAAACCAAATACATCCTTGGATAAATGCAGAGGCCATCCAGTAGGTGAAGAAAAAGATATGAAACTTCCAGGGGAAAGCACTGGGCCTGTGTCACAGACCGGGGCCCAGAGCAAGGAGGCCAAAAGCAGCCGAGCCTGTAGAGAGACACCAGGTAAAGGTTTCAGGCTGGGGAAAAACCCCTTCATTACCCTTTTTGGCTCTGAAGACAAAGGCAGAACTCCCAGGAAAGAAGCAACAACCCAGAGGAAACCCACAAAACCCCAGTCAGCCCTTGCCACTTTGTTTGGTCACTCGTCAGAGAAGAAGCAGAGTGCACCAGAAAAACCTGCAGGATCCTCAGAGCAAGCAAATATTGATGGCAGGACAGAAAAGGCCCAGGGCCTCCTCAGCTCCTGCAGCCAAGAAAAGCAAAATTCCTCCAAGAATGATCAGCTGCCACAGCCTGGAAAGGTGGAGGTGTTTCCTAAACACATCCAGGAGAGCTCTGGAGGATTCTCAGGCCCTGCTGAGAGCAAGGAGACTGATGTCTTGTTGTCAACTCCCAGCACAGCCATGTCACATGATGGTAAATGTGAGAGAACTGAACTTGACATTCATGACCAAGAGTCTTTAAATAGTCAGGTTTGGCAGCCACACGACAGCTGTTGGCCCCCTCTCATGCCAGGACAGAAAAGTCAGAAGGAATCTGCAGGAAGCTCAAATCATGGAACAAGCCCTCTGCAGCTTTCTCCAGAGATTAGGCCTGCAGCTGACAACAGCAAAAATCTCACCAGGGAAAGGAATCACCATGATGCTCATCTGCCAGGAACCCAGAACCTGCTGAGCTTGGATGTCCAGGATACAGGGGCACAGGATGGGATGTTTTTTCCACCAGGCAATTCAGAAGAGTTAGGCAAGGAAGCTGAGCTTCAGTTTGGCAACATGGATTTTCTGGGGGGCAGTAACTTGTTCTTCTCTGGACGACAAGATTTCCCCAGTGAAGCAAATGAAACTCCAAATTCAGATTTGCAAAACTCAGAGGCAGAAACTCCACGTCTCTTTGATCCAAATCCTTTTGATTTTTTCCAAGAAATCTCATCAGAAACAAACACCTCACTAGAACTCTGGGACACCTCCAGCCTCTCGCTTCTTGATGGGCAGGATGAGATTAATATGAGAGACCTGGAAGGAATTAAGGGCTGTGAACTCCTGCTGCAGGTGGACCCACAACGCCAGGCTCCAAAGGCAGCAGAAGAAATGTTTGGAATGGGTCTCAGTGCTGAAGGCTCCACAAAAAACCAGCTCCCTACACAGGATGACAATTGTCCCTTAGCACACACGTTCAGCAGCTGTGCTTCTGAAACCTCTCATCAGGGTGTCCTTGATCATTTTCATGTTGATTCCACCAAAACGGGCCAGGAGGCTTCTGAAAAAAGGAACAGGAGCAGAAAAACATCAGGAGACAAAGAAGATTATGACAGTCTGTCTTCTGAAGACTTGGAGATGTTAAATTATGACCTTTCAGAGAAGGAGTTCTTTATATAGGTGAAAAAAAACCAAAAAAGCAACCAAACACAGGGAGGGCCGTGTGGGATTTTAAAGCTTTTAAAATCAGCACAAGTTTGCTGATATGAGACCAAAAGTGATTTTTGAAACCCACTGTACAATGATAAGCAAAGAAAAGTGAAATGAGCTTGCCCAGGTCAGAAGGGCAGAGGAGGGAAATGAACTCTGCTGTCTTGAAGTCTTTCAAGGTGTGGGGACATTGCTAAATCTGCTCTCCCTGTGCCACTGCACTCTGCTCCTCCCTGAGTGCCCTTTGCAGAAATATTACATAACATAAATGCTATAGGAGTTAACAATTATACTCATGATAAACAAGCTCAAGAGAAACACCAGAGGGTCAAAGCATGAACACGTGAACTATGAAAAGGGTCACAGAGCATATCAATTCACATGTTTTAATCAGCTGTCTGTAAAAAAAAAAAAAAATTTAAAAAATTTAAAAAGGTAAAGGTGTTAAAATGATTAATTTTTAAAATAGAACAAAATGAAATGAAATGGAGTGAAATGAAATGAATAAAATAAAGTAAAATAAAATAAAATAAATACCCAAACAATCTCCTTGCCTCACCAGTGCCAAAATAACCCTGACTGTGCCAGATCTGCTGGAGGAATAAAGCTGTTTAATGACTGCATCTACTGCAAAGCAGTGTCAGTGCTCTGTGCAGGGAAACTGCTCTATCAACATAAATCAGGGAAAAAAGGGATATCCTTGTGATTTATATGATTCATCAAAGGCTGAAGGCAGTCTCACCTTGGGGTGGGCCAGGAAATTCAGGGTAAAGGAGCTGCTGGCTCAGAGCTGTGCCTGAAGCCTGGCCAGGCTGGGCTTGGAGGTGCACAGGAGGCTCCAGAGACCAGACACCTCTCACTGGAGCAGCGGGAGGTGGGTGGCCCTGTCACCTGTGCAAAGGGGGCTCAGAGCGATGGCCCAGAGGAGTTGTCACTACCAGATGACACCCATAAACCTGATCTCACCCTGCCAGCTCTCAGAGGAAGAAGGGAAAGGCAGGAGCACCATGGGGGGTGGGTACGAATCCATTTCCCCACAATTCAGCCCAGCACAGAGGTGTCCAAAGGGGTCTCCAGCCACTGTCACTCCTGATGTGCAGAGAAAAGCCAATTCCATGAATTCATGCATCAATGCTCTGTTTCCTGCACTGGGCCTCATTCCCAGGCACTGGTTTCTCTCCCTGAACTTCTCTCTGGGATGCTCCCACTCCCTTGTCCCTGACATGCATACACAGGTTTCCAGCTGTCCCATCCTAAGACCTGCTGGTTTCTGATGCTCCCTGACAGAGGCTTCTCCTTTTTCAGGAGGCTTTGCAAGCCCTACCTGGGCAGAGCTGCTGGAAGAGAGAAACAAGCCCAGGATCCCTACAAGTGGGGCTGCAGCAAAGAGCAGCTTGCAGGGCTGCCCCAGCCTTCCTCCCTGAGAGATCTCCACCATGTAGGATTGACCCATCAGCCCTAGGTGATGGAGACAGTTATGAAGACATCTTTCCATGAGAAATGTCATCTGAGGGTGACAAAGGACTGAAGTTTCCCAGGGCTGCAGAAGAGCCTGGCTGGTCATGGCTGGAAGAACAGCTCTAGGGAAGGAGTCACATCTGCATTAGCATATGAAACTCACTCAGATCTGGGTCACCCCCAAGGAGGGTTTATACTCATAAATTGGACCTTTGCCACAGAAAATTCCTCAGCTGGGGGCTGAGGAATGGTAGGGAAGACCATGAGCCACACAACAGGGTGAGCCTGAGGACTTGAGCTTGGTGCACACTGACAGAGAAAGCAGGACAGGGACAAATGTCTCAGCCAGAGCAGATCTCCTTGGCCAGGTCATCCCACCAAAAGGCCAGAGATGCATTTAGGGTAAAAGGAATGTCTGGAAGTCGTTCAGCTCAGCCTCCTGCTCAGGGAATATCTCTGAAAAACAGCAAGTCCACTCATCCAAGGATGTGGATGCAGAGCTGAGTGATGTTTGGCTTTGTGGTGTGTGCAGATGATAAAGGCACAGCACTGGTGTGAATTTGCACAACTCTCAGCAACATTTACTCCTCTCTTCCTTTACTCTGAACAGCACTAACCAGTGTGATCTCACTCTCCCACTCCACCTTAAGGGTGATGCTTTAAAATCCAATATTCTTCTCCTTTACTGACTTTCAGAAACACAATACACTATTCCCACTCCTGAAACACCAGTCCAGGTTGTGTGACCCAGGAGTGACTTTGTGTGGGGCTCAGATATCCTATGGGCACTGAGAGTGAAAGACAAAGCACTGGACAGGAGATTTGCAATGAGCAGGTTAGTGATGTGTTCATGGCTCTGGTAAAAGCAGCCTGGAGCTCTGGTAAAACCAACTTTTGCCAAATAACACACAAAATTTCACTCACTGAGGGCAATGCAGACAGCCAGTTTAGCAGGAATAAAGACCCAAGGCACTCAGGGAGTCCACCCAGGAAGCAGCTCAGATGTGCAGCAGAAATCAGATCAATCTGCTTTTCAAGTGACATCAGAACCTCAGGCAAAGCCAAGCTGGTGTCATTTCCCAATTCCTGTGTGCTCTGAATGTCTGTGTGTGTAACCTGCTCTTTTCCCTGAGGATACTCTCTCAGCCAGGTCTATTCTAGGATTAGCCCAAGAAACTGTAGCTTAGATCTAGTTTTATGACTAACCTGGGTTTCTACAAATGAAACCAGAGAGCTTGGGACACAGCTGTCAAGAGCAAGTCTATTGCACTACCAGACATATTTCCTGCTCCAGAGGAGAAGTGTTCTTCTGCTCCTCTTCCATATTCCCTTACATTTCTCTGTCTCCAGGATGCACTACATAGTCATTAAACCATTAATGGGAGCAGCAAATTTGCTCTGTTTGCATCCCCACCCCCAGCAAAATTAACCCTCATTTGTAGAATCCCAACTTCATGCCTCAGACACAAACCTTGTGCTGCAGCACAGCGGCCTTCAGGAGGCCTTGTGACACTTCTCAGGCTGGAGAAGGATAAGATGTCACTACACCATCCCCAAGAGCGGCAGTGCTCTGGCACCTTTGTTCTATCCCCAAGAGCAGGGAGGGAATGGCTGGTGACAAAGTGCAGCCTGGAGCACTGCACTGTATCATCAGAATGGACTGGTGTGCCAGTGCAGGTGCTCATTTTATCACTCTGGATTAGGGCTTTAGTGCTCACACAGTTTAAACATTAATATTTGCCTATTTAAGCCATAGGCAGCAGCGCAGCCTGCTCACAACAGTGCTCACCATGGCTGAGTTTGGGGATCTTTTGAGGGCTCTGGGGGAGTTTGGGCTCTACCAGAAACTGCTGATCCTGCTCCTCTCCCTCCCACTACTTCTCAATCCTTTCCAAATGGTTGGCCAAGTCTTCATGGTTGTGGAAGTGCCTCACCACTGTGACACCAGCTGGATCCGCGCCGTCGGCCCCAACCTGACGGAGGAAGAGCAGCTGAACCTCACCCTGCCCCGCGGCGCCGACGGGCAGTTTGAGCAGTGCTCCATGTTCTCCCCGGTGGACTGGGACCTGGATGCCATCCTGGCCTATGGACTGAACCACACGCAGAAGTGCAGCAGTGGCTGGGTGTACCCCTCAGAGCAGCCACCGTCCCTGCTGACCGAGGTCTGTGCTTGCTGCTTGATGTGCTGGGGTGTGGAAAGGAGGGGGTGGGATACCCCAGCCTGTGCTTGGGTCAGCCAGTGCCAGCTGTGCTGGGAGGGGATGAGATATCCCAACCTGTGCTTTGGCCAGCCAGTGCCAGCTGTGGTGCAGGCAGATTGAGATTTACTGCAGGATTTTGTCTCCATCACACAGATGGCAGCTGGAATCCCTGGGAGCTTGTCACAGGAAGGCCATGGTGAAGATGCCTGGGGAGGGCACGGGCAGGGACCATGGGGGTGGGAGTCCAGCACATGTTCTGCCCACCATTTGTCCCCCTGCCACTATCCAGACCCTTGACTTCATGGCGTATCTGCCTGGAGGGCCCTTTTGGGCTTCCCTGCCATAGTATCCCCTGTTCTTCAGCCTGCTTCTACTCACATCATCTCCTCTGTGAAAGACATTTACCTTCCGAGTTCTTGTCATTGATACTTCTTGGGCCTCCAGGAACCTTCAGGGCTGCATCAAGACATGCCAGGGCCATGCAGCTCAGCAAAAGCCTTGTTTATCAGCATCCTCAGCTTCTGCATTCTGCCTTATCTCCCACCTTCCACTTTATATGGCAGTGATCTGTCAAAGGTTGTACTTCATGTTCTTGGATGTCTTTCCCAACTTAAATGATTCCATGATTCTGTGGACCTTTGTTCCTTTCTCACTTTCCCTCATTCCTCCTCCCTCCTTTCCTACCTGCCAGCTCCAGCACTTTCTCACCACTACTTTCCACGGAGCTGGGACAGAGGACAAAGTCCAGCCTCTGGCATTTGCAAAGGCTCCTTGGTGCCCCTGAAGCACCAAGTCTATTTCAGACAAGGCTTCTCTGGAGGTGTCAGCAGCTGCATCCCTTCCCATTCCTCCTTCATCAGTAAAAAACACTGCTCTCCTCCTCTTTCCACCCTGCCCTGCCTTTTCAGCCAGAGAAGAAAGCTGATACAGCTCTCACCCCAAGGCCACACTTTAAATAAAAGCTGACAGCCAGGATGCTCCCTCATGGCCATGCAGAGCCATGCTGAGCACCTCGAGTGCCCATCCCACCACTGATTTGTGTCCTAAGTGCTCACCTTGAAAGGGTCAAGCCCTTGTGAGGGCTTCTCTGCCTCCAGGGGCTGGAGTGAGAGCTCAGGCACCCAGATCCTGCATCCACCACCGACCAGAAAGGCTGCCCAACCCCAGAAAGCAGCTGGAGTCTGTCAAAAGCAACAGCCTCTGTGGTTTTCTTCCTCCAGTTTGACCTGGTGTGTGACAGGGCGTTCCTGAACGACGTCTCCCAGTCCATCTACATGGCTGGGCTTCTCATTGGAGCCATGGTCTTTGGGATGCTAAGTGACAGGTGAGGAAACACACTTCCTTCCCAGAGACACTGCCCTGCACCAAGGGACAGCCCAGACCAGGGGGCAGACTCTGCATGCACTGAACCTTCACAGCATGCAATCCCCTTGACGGAGATTGGGCATCTGGGACCCCCTGAGAGGTCTGGAAATGTCTGAGGTTGAAAAGAGAGGCAGATACAGCCTTGTGGGGGGGTTCTTCAGGAATCACAAGTTTAGCCCCTGCTGGTGTCTCAGGCTTTACCAGGATGGGTCAACATTGGAGACACCGATTTATCTGCACATTATTTCTTGGGGAAATAGAGGAGCTATGCTCACATGGATGTCAAATCTGCTCTGGTTCTCAAATCACTTTGCATCCCTCCTGGGCTCTTCTCTTTCCTCTCGGGGTCTCTCCAGGTACTGACTGGGCCTTCCCTCTCCTTCCACAGGATAGGCAGGCGGCCAGTCTTCCTCATCTGCATCTTCATCCAGGGGGTGTTTGGCCTGGGAATTGCCTTCGTGCCCCATTTCTATGTGTTCATGGCCTTCAGGTGTGTCGTGGGAGCTGCGGTGTCAGGAATTATGATTACAGTCGTATCCCTCGGTGAGTGGGGGCCCTTGCCCTGAGGCAGCAGATGTGGCCTCACAAGACACAATAATAAAAGGGAGCCCAAAACAAAGCATGAACCTTTGTTTTTCCTCTTAGCTACAGAATGGGTTGGTGTCTCCCACCGGACAAAGTCACTACTGATCACTCACACTGCTTTCGCCATCGGGCAGATGTCAGTGTCTGGCATGAGTTATGGAATTCGCAACTGGAGGCTGCTGGAGATTGCAGGATCTGCTCCTATGTTGTCTGGGCATGGGAACAGGATGATCCGTGATGCTGATGGTTTTGTTAGAAAGGCTTGAGTTCAGCCTAGAATTTGGCAATCTTGGGTTCAGCCTAGAATTTGCTGACCATATGAAGACCCATTCAGCTTTATTTCCTGCAACTATATCCCACACGACTATCTAAGGTGCTGACTAAAACCAAAACTGAGATTGTTAGCAATGTGTTAGGAATGTTGCATGTCTTCTAACCTTTCTAATTTCTGGTTATAAAGCCCCAGAAAACCATCTGGTGACATGTTCTACTCTGCTTTACTTGAATTTCAGGTTTGCAGACAGCATTGTCTACTATGGGCTGAGCCTCAGTGTGACAGATTTTGGTCTGGACATCTACCTGACACAGCTGGCCTTTGGGGCAGTGGAGCTTCCAGCTCGAATTTCCTGCATTTTCCTGCTGGAGTGGTTTGGAAGGAAGAAAGTGCAGGGCATTCTCCTGTTCCTGGCTGGCCTGATATGTCTCATCCTCATTGGCATCCCTGAAGGTGAACATTCCCAGCCTGTGAGCAGAGCTGGCCAGGGCCCTGCACATCCCTACCTTTGTTCAGAGCCATCCTCCCATCCTGGCAGAGCCACGCTCACTCCCACGGGCTCAGCTGCCCCCACTGTCACAGCCCAGGCTGCTTCCTCCCCAGCATTCTGCCTTCCCCTCACCTTGGATTCCTTCTCCCTCAGGGCTGTGCCTGGTTCTCCCACAGCTCCTGGCCCCTGGCAGGCAGTGTCCATTACCCACCACCCACCCACTAGACACCACCACCTCCTGGCAGAAAGCTACAGCAGAAGAAGTGCTTTAAAAGCCACCTGGTCTCCCTTTCTTAGATGAAGAGGAAAAGCAAATGCCCACTCCCCCTCATTTATTTGCATCTGTTTGTGCCCCAGTCCATACCCCAGCCCTGCTACTGTGCCAGGGTTGTGAGTGATATGGAAGGTAACAGTGGGGCTTCCCAATGCTTTCCAGGTCAGGGACATGGCATTTCCACCAAAGCACTCCCCAAACACCTGTGCTGGCTCAGCAGCTCACTTCAGTTGCAGATCTAGAAAATGCCCAAGGCCTCAGCAGAAATCTGGGTTCTCTTTGCCAGAGGGTGTTTTCCAGGTAAGGGTATGCGGGGGATCATTTCCAGTGTGTTAGGTGGTACGTTTGCTTACCAAGTCTATTAGAAAGGGCTATCCCAAGAAATCCCACTGCAGAGAGTTCTGGTCCCAAGTGAACCATCCCCCTGGAGGTTACAGTGGTTGTTTCCCCTCTTCCCTTCAGACCAGCCCGTGGTAATCACTGTCCTGGCCATCATTGGCAAGTTCACAGCCACGGCCGCTTTCTCCACCTCCTACGTCTACGCCGCTGAGCTCTTCCCCACCATCCTCAGGTGAGATGTCCTCCCATATCAGAGCCTCCTTCCTCCATGGCTGGGGGTGGCCATGGGCCACATTCAGTGCAGGAATGTTGACCCCTGCCCACACCTCCCGCTGCCCCTCTCTCCCCAGGCAGACAGGCGTGGGGCTGTGCTCGACCATGGCGAGGGTGGCCGGGATCCTGGCCCCGCTGATCATTCCCCTGGACCAGTACCACCGGGCCATCCCCAAAGCCATCTTTGGGAGCATCCCTGTGCTGGTGGCCCTGTTCTGCATCCTGCTGCCAGAGACACGCGGTGTTGACCTGGCAGATGATACAGGGGACGAACAACCTCTGGATGAGGTGGGTACAGGGAACGCTGAATTGAAGGGAAAAATGATATCCAAAACTGCAAATTTAAGGCAAAGAAAATATGTCAGAATCAGGGATGAATACAGTCTCACCTCTCCTCTTTCCTTCTTCTCTTCAGGAGCAGAAAACTGAAGTGTCTCTCTGAGACACCAGAGATAATGACAGAGACTTGGACAAGGATGTCTGCAGATGCTCAGAGAGGAAGCGATGACTGGATAGGCATCTACTAACAGTCTACTCCAATTCCATCATTCTTAAATTAGACCAGGGAGGCATTGCTGCCTGGAAACTGGTAACAGGCATCTACTAACAGTGTAATCTGAGTCCATCATTCTTGAATTAGACCAGGGAGGCATTGCTGCCTGGAAACTGGTCTTTCAGATGATGAACACAATATCCATGGTCACAGGGAGAGGAGATCTATGTCACTCTGCCTTTGGAACAGATGCACTTCCGAGTGTCCCTGAAACCCAGTTTGGTCACGCCTGGCTGGCCTCCCAACGTGTTCCCCAGTCCTTTGCAAGCTGGTACCCGTGGAACCATCCCTGTCGTGTTTTACAGCAATAAAAATCATTGTTGCAGTAAAGACACATATTTCTTCATCCACCATAGCCAGTCCTTATTCTTCACAGCTCATGTTCATATGGCTTTCTAAAGGCATCATGTTTAATTCTAGTTTGTTAGTAACTTATTGCATCTCACTTCATTGGTTTGTAGTTGTTCTTGTCCGTGCATGATAAAGACTTTCTTCTTTACATATGTTTACTTTTTTTTCTTCATGGCTTCTCAAGAGTACAGATTGCTTATTTTCACAGGTGTCAGATGGTTCTCACGGGTAAAGGCTGCCAGGCTGATTCTCATGGATACCTGTCAGGCCAGCTTTTTGCTGTACCCAGCCAAAGCCATAGGCCTGAACTATGATTTTACAAGGTCTTTCTTTGTAAGGTTTTACCCAAATGCAACAAATCACCAGTAGAGTGGCTGTACTGGGCAAAGGCAGGCACTGGGTTTGTCCCTCCTGCACTCAACCCCTTGGGTCGACGGGCTGCACGTCAGCCCAAGCCTCGACGTTGGATCAGGATGTCACTTCACCCCTGTCACACATGTATTTAGCTTTTCTTTCTGTGTGGTGTTGAAGTTGAATTTCTACATGAATAATATAAATTATGCTCTGAGTTTGATAAGAGACACTTGTAATGCAATATGTGAATAATAAATGGTGTTGACTCTTTTTTTTCCTACTGTTTCACAGTTGGCCTTTGTAACTGCTCTTGGCTCTGGAGTGTTTTCTACACAGAAGTTGTAAGTCTGTAATTTAACATGCAGATGGAAATGAGCTTTGTTTCCATCAGACACAAACAATGCAAAAACAATGTTAAAGCAGAGTGGCTGAGTTCAATAAGGACTTTATTTTTTCAAAGTCTTCCAATGAGCAATCTGCATTTATTTTCTCTACTAGCAGCTGTAGAGGTTTTCTGAATTGCATGGGAATTCTGCAATTCGATTCCAAACTGTGTGGGCTTTGGACAGTTTTCCTCAGTCACGGTGAGCCTTTTACAGCCACCTTAGTTGGCTGCTGCCAGCTCAGTCATGACAATTTAGTGTCATCTAGTGTCATGCAAAAGGAAGAGAAGGGTGGGCTCCTCACTTCTGCTAATTTGTTTGCCAGCAGAGGATGTATTTCAGTGTTCTCTGATGAATTCATCTCCTCAAGCACATCACTACTCTCAAAGAAGGAGAAGGCTGCTCAGATTTGCTGCATCCTTTGGTTTCCAATCTCTTAGTGCTCTAGTAAATGGTGTTTTGAGGGCTGGAGTGTCCCAAGTCCAGGCCAGATGTTCCTGGTGCTGATATTCATTTTGTGCTTTGGCTTTGTTGCACAAAATCACCCCAGTCATGTGGAACTTGGCCATGTCTGGAGATGGGATCGGGAGTTTGCAAGATCTGGGCTTTGGCACTGGAGGGAAGGGACCTGGGGAAGGGGCTGGAGCACCTGGAGCAGCTGAGGGATCAGGGGAGCTCAGCCTGGAGAAAAGGAGGCTCAGGGGGCACTTTCTCACTCTTTTCAAATCCCTGAGAGGAGGATGTGGCCAGGAGAGGGTCAGTCTCTTCTCCCAAGTAACAAATGACAGAACAAGTGGAAATGGTCCCAAGCTGCACCACAGGAGTTTAAATTGGATAATAGGGAAAATTTCTTCTCCACAAGGGTTGTCCAACACTGGAACAGGCTTTCCAGACCTCTGGTGGGGTCACCATCCTTGGGGCTATCTAAAAGGCACACAGCTGTGCCATTTAGGAACATGGTTTCATGGTGGATCTGGGATGATGGCTGGAGCTAGTGGTCTTAGAGGTCTTTTCCACCCTAAATGAACCAATGATTCTATGGCTTCTTGCACAGTCAGGAGAGCAGCTTTAATGCTCATCTCCTCACCTCCTCAGCCATTCCCTGCTGGTTCCCTTTTTGCAGGCTTTGCTCTTCTCATGGACCTGGGGCTTCCCAGCATGGGGACAGATGAAAGCAGAGGGTGATGTCCTCTAGGTAAAGGGGAAGGTCCAGGATGCTGACACCTCTGTCCCACAGCCAGGATTTCAGCATAGTTTGTTGGTGTCACTGACACTGAAAATGTGCTGATTATCCCAGTGGTTCCTGTGGGGCTCCTCTGACAACAGGAGCTGTTTTGGCTCTGCTTCTGTGTCTGGGGGTGATTTTATGATGATACTCTATTCCTGATCATCTCCTTTACGTCCAGAAATAGCTGCTGTACTTTAAGGTTGCTCTGGGGCATGGGTGTGAGCCTTGGCGGCTCCTGCACAGGTTTTGTTCAAAGATTCACTCCAGAGTGTGCTGGGTGCAGTGCAGACTGGACATGACTTTGCTGTTGTCTTGGTTTAGAGACAAATTTAGGAGAAAATGCCTTGGAATTAATGTTTCTTCCAAGAGAAGGGCTTCAGTAATACCTTTTGCCAACAAGAGAAATTAATACCAGTGGGTGAAAGTGAAAACAACCCTGTTTATAACAAAGCAAGGTACCTGCAAGGCACAGAAAAAGACTGAATAAATGCTAGATATTTATTTTCAGAACCTTACCCCCCCACCCAACAAAAAAACTCAAAATGTCCAGGGAAGAAATAAACAGGCTGGCAGGCCACATGGCTGGGAAGGCAAAAATGGCAGTGGCCCCTTTGTCTCAGGGATTGGGGGGGAAAAAAAAAAAAGAAAAAAAAAAGGAGTTCACATAGCAGCCAGATGGGAACCTGCTGAACCTCTGGTATTGGTGTCCTCCTCACAGCAGATGAAGTTGGTGGAATTTGGTGTCATTTGTCTTGTTGGTTCAGCTTTTTTTTCAGAGGTCTCAGGCTCGGAGCGGCTTCCGCTGGTCCCCTGCAGGTCCTGGTCCATCTCAGCAATAGTCTGATTTTGGTCCAAAAACCAAGCCAAAAGAGTTCATGAATAAAAAACGGAGGATCACTGCTGCAGGTCAGGGGAAAAGGTGGGGAAAGAAAAAAAGAAACTTCTTGTTTAAGCTACCAAAAAAAAAGTGAGTTAAGCAACAAAGTAGTTGCCAATGTCCACGACAAGGCACTGAGCAAGTCTGGGAGTGAGCCTTAAATTGCAATGGAAGATGTGGCTGGGGCGTGTTTTCTGTTGCCATCTGTTAGAACCAGGTGGGGCAGTTATCTTCTGTTAATGGGTCAGCCATTAAAGCCAGGTGGGGCAGTTTCCTTTGTCTCTTCCAGGACTCATCCTTCCCCCAGGATATCTCTGCTGTCCATGGCCACTGGGTGTCCCTGCAGGGCTGAACAAAGCCGTCACCGGGGCTCCCAAGCTCCTGATCCTCCTCCCCAGATCCATCTTAAAGCTACAATGTTTTACGCTATTTCTGGCATAAAGAAAAAAGAAAAATATTCAGAGCATCATCATAAAATCACCCCAAGACTGTTGCTTAGCTAGCTTGGGTTTTTTGTTAGCTTAAGCAAGAAAGTTATTTTCCCCCTTTTCCTGGCCTGAAGAGACTGCAGCAGCAATCCTTTCGTGGCTTTTGGGTTTTTTTCTTGAATTGTTCACCTTGGTTTTGGTCCAAGATCAGACAATCACCAGGAGTCAATCAGGCAGGAGTGCAGGAGCTGCTCTGTCCAGCCCAAGACCTCAGGAAAAGCTGAACCAACAAGAGAAAAGACACTAAAATGCACCAGCTTCATTTGCTGTGAGGAAGAGACCAACGCCAGAGGTTCCACAGATTCCCACCTGTTTTGCCCGAGCTGCTGCATGAACTTTTTTTTTCTACCCTGAGACAAAAAAGCTGGTGCCATTTTTTTCCTCCTGCCACACAGCCGGTCTGTTTGTTTCTTTCCCTGGCATTTTGGGTATTTTTTTGTTCTGCTGTGGGGTGTGTGTGTGTGTGTGTTGGGGGTAAGATTCTGATGGTTCAATGTCTAGCATTTGTTCAATTTTTTTCCTTTGCCATGTGGGCACTTTGTCAATAGTTGGTTTTTTTCACTTTCACCCACTGGTATCAATTTTCTCATTGACAGGAAAAGGGATTACTGAAGCCTTTTCCTTTAGCAGAAACACTCATTCCAGAGCATTTTCTCCTAAATTTGTCTCTAAAATGAGAAAACCTGCTCTTCCCAGCTAAACCCCTCTACCCCATTTTGTCCTCATCACCTTGTTAACTTTTTGGCTCCCTCCCTTCAATATGGAATCATCCTTTTTGCCTTAGTTATTCCTTAGCTCCCATTTTACCCTTTTCCCATGGCCTCACAATCATGAGAGCACAGAACACCCCACTGTGTGCATGCAGAAGTGTATTTGCATTCCCACAGGTTTATGTTTGCATTCCCACGTGCTGTTCCAGCACTCCTGCCTCCCCCTTGTGCTGTCACCTCTGCCCATTACAGTGCAAGGCCATGTGTGGTCTGGCTAGGAGTGACATTAAGGCACTGCAAAAACATTGGACATCCTCCCACTTGTGCTGAGCTGGGCAAAACACGAGTCAAGCTGTTCAGGTGCTCTTCAAGTGCACAGCCCAGGGGTATTCAAACTCACAAGATTCAGTGAACCAGAGAAGAGCAGATAAAATACAATAGAGAGCTGTTGGAGTGAGTACAGAGGAGGCCACAAAGATGATTAGAGGGATTGAAGAA